TGCCCTATAAGTATAGATTATAGACCGGTTAGGAGGTCTATACAGGATATATAGACCGAGTAAAAGACCGAGGTCCCCCGAGGTCTTTTACGAGGTCTATATATCCTGTATAGACCAACTATGAGGTCTATAATCTGAGCCAGAGCACGCTAAAATATGACCACAGACCAAAAATTCGATTTTCACTTTTTGTTCAAAAATGATCAGACACACCTAAGGTTCACTGCCTGAAAGTTTTGGATTGATCGGACATGTCTAAGTGTTGCTACAATGGTATTATATGCAGCACTGTTGGAATGGTGAAATTCTATGTACAGCAATGGGATTGTCATTTTTGCACACAGTTGATATGTCCCTTGGTTCATCCCTTCCGGGTCAGTTCCTCTGTCCAGGGTCTTATAGCACGAGGTGACAGGTACTCGGCCACATCCAAAATTCCTATAGGCAGCTGCGCTGGGTGTCCGAAATACCTCCTGTTTGAAGCACCACTGGAGAACCGCCAGCGAAAACACCGTCAACATCTGTAGATGGCCGGAGAGGTTGGCACTCCACGTCCTCTCCATCACACTCCACCTGTACTGTCAGATATACAATATACACTGCTGCATACAGTCTTCCTCAACATACTCAACGTCGCACTCATATTCCGCACACCAAAGCCCATCTGCACACGGTTTTCTCCGCTCGCCAGAGAGTACTGCTTTCGCTGCCTACTGCTCGTGCTAGCGATGTTCCGCATAAGGGTACTCAAATTATCGACTTGGGTAAAGGTATAGTTTAGGGTCCCAAATTATTTTAGTGGGTCAGCATGCTCTACAGAGTCCCAGGCATGCACATAGCCATAGGCCTTGGCCACAACTGACATCGAATACAATGTGGATGGACAACCACTGGTGTAGGCAAAATCACCTTACGATGCGAACGAAGACGGCGCAAAGGACCATGAAAATCGCCTGAGTTTGAAGCTCGGTGATGCCGTGCGTGTCTTGAACACCTCCATGGGCAAGGGATGGTGGTGGGTAGAAGTCAAAATATTCGTCGTTCTGCCAGGAGGCTTCCTCCGCGCCGCGCAGGTCATCCTCAGTGCCAAGGAATGATGATGGAACGTAGCCAGACTCGCCATCGACTTCTACCCACCACCATCCCTTGCCCATGGAGGTGTTCAAGACACGCACATCACCGAGCTTCAAACTCAGGCGATTTTCATGGTCCTTTGCACCGTCTTCGTTCGCATCGTAAGGTGATTTTGCATACACTAGTGGTTGTCCATCCACATCGTATTCGATGTCAGTTGTGGCCAAGGCCTATGTGTAATGTACATGCCTGGGACTCTGTAGAGCATGCTGACCCACTAAAATAATTTGGGACCCTAAACTATACCTTTACCTCGACTTGAGCAAGTTGAGGGAGCAGCAGAGTCCATTGATTGTTTTTGCACTTGCAACCAATACTGGCATTGTCCCGGATATGTGCAGCGATGTCCATTCTGGCCAAATCATCGGCCGACTCACCTCCCAAGTCAGTGTCGATGCCAATCGCTTGCCAGGTTGTCATCAGAGTAGAATTCCTCGTCACTGCAGATCGTGGGACTACCAGCATCAATTCTTTTACGCTCGATGAAAGTGTCGCCCTCAAATGACTGGTCGCTGTCGCCATCATCGTCTTCCTTCTGTTTCCGACCCGAATCCTCGAAATGTTTTATCCTGGGCATGGAGTGCGAGGATGTCGTCTTCTTCCGCTCCGCAATACATTACTACTAGGCTCTTCCGTCGATACATCGATGGCGATCAGTTTTAGGCGACTCAGCTCAACATGGAATACAAACTCAAACAAATAAACTTACTTGCAACAAAGAAATGCATCCGGAACAGTCCAGTCGACCGAGGAGAACAACAACAGCGACTCGCGTTGCACTGCACTTCGTGTTAATATAAGCAAGAGTACCTATAATTATATTTGACCGCTAAGGTATCAGGGAAATTAGTGGGGTCAAATACTTAAGCGGGATTCACAGAAGCTTTTTTGCGATGCGACACGCGATGCGACAGGCGCGAAACCGGGAAAACCCCAAATCGCAGCCATGTCGCACCCCGCGCAACTGCCGCAACTGGGCCATCGCTGGCCATCGCAGAAGTTGAGCTTGGCTCAACTTTTGCGATGCGATGCGATGCGACAAGCGATTTGGCGTACGATTTTGACCTTTTCTACAGCAAAGTTGTACAAAGGTGCAAGAGTTGCCTATAAATTTGTACAGGTTGTACCAAACCGCGCAAATATCATGGTGACGTACTCAAATCAGCAAGACTTTGCAAAAATTTGTCGCATCGCTGACTTCTTCTGTGAATGGTATTTCGCGAGTTCGCATCGCACGCGTCCGTCGCAGATCGCGTCGCATCGCGTGTCGCATCGCAAAAAAGCTTCTGTGAATCCCGCTTAAGAAGGCGATAATTATCCCTATAGTTATGCGAATTCTTTGCTCCTTGTAGCAAAATATGCTACATTTGGTATAATTTGCTAAATTTGCTAACTTATGCAACCTTGAGTCAAAAGGACCAAAATATGCGAAAATATGCGCAAGCATATACAGGTCAGACCTCGCTATAACGACCCCCGCTATAACATAATTTCTCCCATCCCAGAGATTACGTTATAGCGAGGTCTGATCTGTAGATAGTATCTCTTGTCTCTCTTGTCTCTCTCTTCCACAATGTCGTCGTTTCGTTCGTCTTTGTCGCAGTCTCTTCGTCCTTCCAATAAATGTTGTTCGACCTAACCTGTTCCTATTGTCTGTTGTAATGTCTGGAAAACATGCTGTCGTCTTTTTTCGTGCTGAACATTGGCGCCCGACTATTGATCGACCCACGACCCTGAGGTCCCATGCCCAGTCGTCCTCAACCACCATTCATCTCGTCTATGTCAACCTCGTCTCGTCCATGTCAACCTCGTCTCGTCCATGTCAACTTCGTCTCGTCTCCAACCTCGTCTCGTCTCCAACCTCGTCTCGTCTATGTCAACCTCGTCTCGTCGTCAATAATCGTCGTCTCGTCTCCCACCTCGTCTAGTCTATGTCAACCTCGTCTCGTCCGAGTACGATTATTCTTGAAAAACCGACCGATTACTCAATATTTGGTATAATTGTTTCACCCCTAAAATATATTACAAGAAGTGGCCTCGGACATCAACAAGTCAACATATTCAGGAAACACATTGACAGCGGCAGCAACACAGCTAACACCAGACAACATACCGCTGTAGAAGGGATCGCTTGTGACTTGAGGGCCATTATGAAGTTCGATCCGATGAAATATTTCAGTGTAAATAGTTTCTTGTGGTTCCGCAGGGCTTACTGCAAGCTACACCACAGGGAACAGCAGACACCAGAATATATTTAGTACACGCTAGATATTGCACACAAAGTTCCAATCACACGCACATGCAGCATTCATGTTAGAACAAAAGCTTCACAAATGTGGAAAAAGGCTTCTGAAAGCGTGCACTGACCTGCATCAAGCGACTGGAAAGAATATCCATGTTCAGTGCAATCGACACGTTATGCTGACGGCTCTGCTCCAGAAGATGCTGTTCCAAATCTTCTCGCATACACTGAAGGCAAGATGGACACGCACAGAGAACATAATTCAATGCAGACATACACAGTCATACAGACGTTCACATATTTCCAAACGAATCCGGGCACTTACACATACATCGACGAGTGCACGCATTCACGATGACTGTGTGACCCATAGTCAAACAGCAAAAGATGCAAGTCTGTATTATGTATTAACCTTATAAGCGTGAACTGTAGTGTCATACCAATAGACCACCACTCCTTTAAAATGTGCCAGACGTTATTGATGAACTTGAAGTTAAATTTTCAAATGTCCTACTGGAAACCTTAATATCTAAATTGCAACCCCCTTTTTATTTTTATTTCTTTTACTATGTTCACATTCCCAGCTCGAAAATAATAAAGAAAGACAATGATACTGAGACTAGGACGAACGTGACAACTATTTGGCCTATAGAGATCTCTCGATCCGCACCAGCTTGAGCAACCGGAAGATTGTGCCCCTGCTACGGGTTATAGTGATTTTCTGGGTAAGATATCCCCCCCCCCCGCCGCTCCCCCTCGTGGAAAATTGCAGGACTTCCGGCGGCCCATCTCACACAAGTGCTTGGGAATAGTATCTTACTGAGTGCTCGCAACCAAGTATGGTGAACGGACATCGGATGGTGTCTTTGGGACAGTTCTGGTGCGGTTCCGTCTGAGTGGCAAAACACATAGACAAGAACATAAAGCCAAAACGCACGGATAACAATATTTTCTCACAATGTCATGCTCTGTCAATGGTGAGCATTCTCAGGGTTCGGTGCACCTACAAATACATGTACATGCAGCACGTACAAAGGTTCACCATGGCCAGAAGCCTTAGCAACAAGAATTTCATTTTGTCTGTGGCAACTCGGCCTTTTTCACAATCGTCAGGCGGCATGCCCCTTCACGATCCAAAGGACCATAACAAACGTCAAGTCAGAATTTCCAACCATTGTGAACTTGTGTTTCAGGATCTTCGTCGTAGGTTAAGTTTATGAGCAAAGTTTTTGAAATTGATTCAGTGTGATAATCAAGATTGTTCTCCATGGCGACTTACCTCCCGCCAACTACGTAATAAACCACATAAACACGCTATCTGGCAATTATCGCTGTCCTTGTGTGACTGTAGGGGATACGAATACATATAAATACACACACCAACAGGCTAATTCGAACATATATACACACAGCGAGAGAGAGAGAGAGAGAGAGAGAGAGAGAGAGAGAGAGAGAGAGAGAGAGAGAGAGAGAGAGAGAGGGACATAGAGAGATAGAGAAAGATAGAGAGAGATAGAGATAGAGAGAGAGAGAGAGACAGAGAGAGACAGAGTAGTAGTAGTAGTACTATTTTTTATCATTTCACTAGTGGAGTCCCAACAGGCTCCTGCCTTTTTACTGGGAACCCTAGGTGAAGTTCAGAGAGAGACAGAGAGAGACAGAGAGAGACCGAGACAGAGAGACCGAGAGACAGAGAGAGAGAAAGAGAGAGAGAGAGAGAAAAAAAAGAGAGAGAAAGTGAGAAAGAGAGAAGGTGAGAAAGAGAGAGAGTGAGAAAGAGAGAGAGTGAGAAAGAGAGAGAGAGTGAGAAAGAGAGAGAGAGTGAGAAAGAGAGAGAGAAAGAGAAAGAGAAAGAGAAAGAGAAAGAGAGAAAGAGAAAGAGAGAGAATGATTTGCATTTATTATTTAACGGATTTCCCAAAGACATAGCCTATCGAGGGGATCTCCTAACAGTGAAAATGATCCTTGATTTATATACTAGTGAAGCGACTTGTGCAGGCAAGTATATGCTGTTTATGATGAGCGCGAAATTGTGGCCGAATTTCCGAAACAGAATCTATAGCGGTAATCTTAGGTGGAAGGCAATTCCATAATTGGCCGATTTTATATAAGAAAATGGAAGATAAAAATGTCCCATGAGAGTTGAAAACAAGCTTGTTCGGTCTGCGTTCACTACGGGAAATATTGATATCAAAAATGGAAATGATATGAGGTTGAAAGTGGATGTATTTGAAAAGAATTGCAATAGCGATGAGGGTACGTCTGAAATGGAAGGATTCTAAGTTACACATACTATTTAAACTATCTTTTGATTCATATCCGCCAAATGCTATCTTGGCTGATCTTAGCAAACGTCTACACACGCTTAGCTTGCAGGACATCAAACATAGCTAGCTGTGCAGTAGTTAGGGTGAGGCTCGAGACTGGGGTGACATATTCTATTGCAGGGCGTACATGTGATTTGTAGAGCAAGGCAATGTTGGGGTAAGGTAGATAGAGAAAGAGAGAGAGAAAGAGAAAGAGAAAGAAAGAGAGTTAGCGAATGAGAGAAATGACAGAGAGCGAGAGGGAAAGACAGAAGTATCCCGACTGTGACTGTACTTACTTCATAAGTACATAAGGGGCCTGTCCACGGGCAGCCGACTTCCTTCCTCTCACAGAACACTTTCAATTGGCCAATATGTCTCAACTTTTCGAAATTGTATGCAATCTGCAAATATTCGAATATTCGGGTGACGCGAAGAAAATGCAATGGATAAAGACTTAAAAATGTGCAGAAACTAGGCACGCATACATGCATCAACAAGATTGGATAACTTTGTCGAACAGTGCAAGAACTGTGGAAGGGTATGTGTATGTATGGGGGAGGCATGAGTCAAGAAAGTGTGCGTGTGTGCGAAGGGGGGGGGCACAAGCATATGGAAGCGTCACTGCCATGTAAATGACCTCATGCCGCGTCCTGTGTTTCGCAGCTACTCACACCTCTCCCATCACTCACCAACTGATTGCTATTCATAATTGCAGTTGAGCAAGAGTACAAGAGCACAATTGTGTAAGTGTCGGTGTGTATGCAAGTATATGTACGTGTGTGTGCGTGTAGGTGCGGCCGTGTTTGTAAATGTGTGCGTGCGTGCCTGTGTATGTATGCGGGCGCGTGTGTGTGTGTGTGTGTGTGTGTGCGTCCGGGCGTTTTTGGACACGTATATGTGTGCATATAAGTGCATACTTGGATATTAAACAGCTTACTCTTCCAAAAGGTACATTTCTCTTGTCCAACGGGCAAGTTCGTCTGTTTCTGAACATGAAAGGGCCAGAAAATACACAGAGAACACGAATACACACACACACAAACACACACACACATATTTATATATAATACCCAGTGCTGTAGACAGCAAGCTGTTTCGGCCATAAAGGCCTCATCAGTACAGCTACGAGCTAAATAGGCCGAGCTACCAGCCATGGTGCAAAGGAGGCACCACAGACATTAAGATAGCTCGTCGCTCTAGCGCCAGAGTGCTCAAACTACAAAAATAGCGGGCATTGCGCGATGCAGCAGCACTAGAGCAGGCTACTGAGAGTGCTCAACAAGGCGAGAGCCGAGGAGATTGATACCCAATGCTGTAGACAGCAAGCTGTTTCGGCCATAATGGCCTCATCAGTGCAGCTACGAGCTAAATAGGCCGAGCTACCAGCCATGGTGCAAAGGAGGCACCACAAACATTAAGATAGCTCGTCGCTCTAGCGCCAGAGTGCTCAAACTACAAAAGGTTGCGGGCATTGCGCGATGCAGCAGAACTAGAGCAGCCTACTGAGAGTGCTCAACAAAGCGAGAGCCGAGGAGCGTGATACCCAATGCTGTAGACAGGAAGCTGTTTCGGCCATAAAGGCCTCATCAGTACAGCTACGAGCTAAATAGGCCGAGCTACCAGCCATGGGGCAAAGGAGGCACCACAGACATTAACATAGCTCGTCGCTCTAGCGCCAGAGTGCTCAAACTACAAAAGGTAGCGGGCATTGCGCTATATAATATATAGACGAGAGAGCTTGGAAGCTTAGGGCCCTACGCTATGATGTCAAGGACTTAGAACTTTTTTCTCAACTTAGAAAAAAATCGGAACTGAAAGAAGAAAAATCTGAAGCCCGAAGCTGGGATTTGAACCCAAACTGTCAGATTCTCAGTCAAAGAACTTGGGGAACATACCACAAGAGACAACTGAAAACTTCTGTTTACACAGAAGTAATGTCCAATGTAAACGGCATATGTACATACTATTATACTATTACAATAGTATTCCTTTCTTCCTATAGCGAAGCAAAAACAGTTTTAGGTACGCTATGTCGTGATAAATCTATTATTGCCCTCATAATCGGTCAATATATGAAATATAGACCTCGTAAAAGACCTCGGGGGACCTCGGTCTTTTACTCGTTCTATACTTCATATATTGACCTCTTTAATCGTGCAATAATAGATACATATAGAGAGAGAGAGAGCTCACTGACTTGTCAGTTTGAGCCATCTGGCAAGGTACGTTCGGGCCTGATTTAAATCTGGCTTTGGAAATTCTATTATCATTGCTATCAGGTTCGGACTCAATATCTCTGTGCTGCGCTGATGAGTTCACAAAGAAAGAAACAGCATGCTGTCCGCAGATTGAGTATACATAATATTGTTTGCCTGATGATTGCACACAGTGCATGAAACTCAGAGTAGCAAAACATTACATTGTTTGTTGACATGTGTCATTGCTCCCCCCAAGAAATTGGATGTTGAGCACTTTTTCTGCAGCTGCAGGCATAGTCTTACTGAGTATATATTAACTGGTTTGAGGGAAAGGGAAAAACGGGAAAAGTCCGAAGAAAAAATGGACTGTCACCACCTATATATATATACTCAATCTGCGGACAGAACTGTTTCGTCCTTTGTGGACTCGTCAGCGCAGCACAGAGGAAATGAGGCCGAACCTGATAGCAATGGAAATAAAAATTTCCAATCAGGCCCGAACGTACCTTGCCAGAGTGCTCAAACTGACAAATCAGTGAGCGACAGAACTGTTTCGTCCTTTGTGGACTCGTCAGCGCAGCACAGAGGAAATGAGGCCGAACCTGATAGCAATGAAAATACTTGGTCCGCCCAGTTAAAATTGGCGCTTATCTTCTAACTTGATTTTTTGGTGTTCTGCCTGTGCCACACGGCATGGAACCACCGATTCACCATCCGAACATAACCATTGACCATTGCATCCGACAACATGGCAGCACAAACCATCACAGAAGTTGCGATCAGTTCGTTTGAGTCTTTTTGACGGAGCTGCCGCCGACGAACACTTCCGTCAGCGCAAGAAAACACTGCAACCTCCGCTCGAGTCCGTAAAATAGGTCAGGATGTTCGCATTTCAGAGCGAATGACAATACAGTTTCTGTCTACTTCCAGCTGTCTGATGGCAAGGATTGTTTTACCCGGGGAGGTATAGAAAAGCTGAAAAAGCGCTTCGCGAGCTTGAATTTCATTGCTTGCACAGTACAGCGCCTAGTGAAGGGCTATCACCAGCAAATCGCTGACGAAGAAACTGCAGCTCATGTCGATATCTCCAAAAAGTGAGACCAATCCGGCGGACACACTTTGAAGCTCACAGAGGACAGGCCAAAGGAGCTAATCAAAGAAAACATCAAGTCCTGAGAGAAACACTCGTGCAAAGGACGTTCAGGAAACTAGCCTAAAAGCCTGGTGCACGGCGTTGTAGGTGCAGTACGCACAGGCCACAGCCTAGCACAGGTGCTACATCAAGCGGAAGCTATTACTGCGCTGCATGTAGATCTTCAAGCGCCAGCGGCTCGCGTGGGTACGGGTGCTGATCAGCAAGTACGACAAGCGCAAGAGGCGATTTGAAAAAAGGACACTGATATGGCGTTGCCTTTTTGTCTCAAACAAAGACGCATTATTGCGACAAACGGGGATAACACTTACAGTCAACATGCGGGCAGTCTCATTCAGCTTCTGATGGGAAGGTGACAGGCCCGCACTGCCTTTGAGCGTGATTCGAGACGAGGAGAAGTGGAACAAGCTATGAAACGACCCGTGCAGCAGCTGACCGGATCGTACATTTTGAGCTCTTCCTCCAGCGACGATAGTGGCGAGGAGGATGTGTAACTTGCTTGAATTTTCGACTAAGTTGCTTACTGACATGTAAATAATCATGTATATAGTGCTTTGTGATCGTGGCTTGCTTCAAATATTCGTATTTCTTTCCTGAGACAAGTGTGAAGATAAGCGCCAATTTTAACTGGGCGGACCAAGTAAAAATTTCCAATCAGGCCCGAACGTACCTTGCCAGAGTGCTCAAACTGACAAATCAGTGAGCGACAGAACTGTTTCGTCCTTTGTGGACTCGTCAGCGCAGCACAGAGGAAATGTATATATACCCAATGCTGTAGACAGCAAGCTGTTTCGGCCATAAAGGCCTCATCAGTACAGCTACGAGCTAAATAGGCCGAGCTACCAGCCATGGTGCAAAGGAGGCACCACAGACATTAAGATAGCTCGTCGCTCTAGCGCCAGAGTGCTCAAACTACAAAAATAGCGGGCATTGCGCGATGCAGCAGCACTAGAGCAGCCTACTGAGAGTGCTCAACAAGGCAAAAGCCGAGGAGCGTGATACCCAATGCTGTAGACAGCAAGCTGTTTCGGCCATAAAGGCCTCATCAGTACAGCTACGAGCTAAATAGGCCGAGCTACCAGCCATGGTGCAAAGGAGGCACCACAGACATTAAGATAGCTCGTCGCTCTAGAGCCAGAGTGCTCAAACTACAAAAATAGCGGGCATTGCGCGATGCAGCAGCACTAGAGCAGCCTACTGAGAGTGCTCAACAAGGCAAAAGCCGAGGAGCGTGATACCCAATGCTGTAGACAGCAAGCTGTTTCGGCCATAAAGGCCTCATCAGTACAGCTACGAGCTAAATAGGCCGAGCTACCAGCCATGGTGCAAAGGAGGCACCACAGACATTAAGATAGCTCGTCGCTCTAGCGCCAGAGTGCTCAAACTACAAAAATAGCGGGCATTGCGCGATGCAGCAGCACTAGAGCAGCCTACTGAGAGTGCTCAACAAGGCAAAAGCCGAGGAGCGTGATATATATATATATCGCAGATTGAGTATATATATACATATACTCAATCTGCGCAGATTGAGTATTTCGCTCCTGCTCTTGTAGCAGTTGAGCACTCTTGCGTGGGGTAGTGCCTTTGCTGTTTGCGTTATATATATATATACCTCTGTGCTGCGCTGACGAGTCCACAAAGGACGAAACAGTTCTGTCCGCAGATTGAGTATTTCGCTCCTGCTCTTGTAGCAGTTGAGCACTCTTGCGTGGCGTAGTGCCTTTGCTGTTTGCGTTATGCAGAGCTCACTGACTTGTCAGTTTGAGCACTCTGGCAAGGTACGTTCGGGCCGGATTGGAAATTTTTATTTCCATTGCTATCAGGTTCGGCCTCATTTCCTCTGTGCTGCGCTGACGAGTCCACAAAGGACGAAACAGTTCTGTCCGCAGATTGAGTATATATATATATATATATAGAACAATAGAAGTATTTCTTGCGTCGGCAAAAAGTCCTCAATGTCCTAAGACAGAGCGGGGTTATACACTCAGACACAAAGGATCTCCAAGTTTCTCACTGTTGCTACTCTGAGTTTCGTGCAAAAGCACTCTTCAGGCCTGAAGAGTGCTTTTGCACGAAACTCAGAGTAGCAACAGTGAGAAACTTGGAGATCCTTTGTGTCTGAGTGTATATATATATATATATATTTATACTCAACCTGCTGACAGCATTATACTTAGTAAGACTATGCTTGCAGCTGCAGAAAAAGTGCTCAGCATTCAATTTTACACACACACACACACACATACATACACTTGAACTCAAACAATAACCAGTTAGTACTTGGACCTATTATCATAAGCTCTCTTAGTCTTTGTGAAACGCCAGGATAGACGGTTCTAGCCCAACCTTAATGGGAACAGAATGGTGAGTGCAGTAGTAATGCCTCCGACCCATCAGGCATGATCGCAGGTAGGCTTTGCTGCCTTTTTGCATGTGCACAACAATCAAGGACAACAGGATCAAGATCAAGAACAAGGATCAAGGACAACAAGGTCCAATAACCTTCTACCTGTGCATACCAACAACTGTAATGGGCATAATTCACCCCCCCCCCCCCCCCCAACTAATACGAGTTACTAACTTGCAACAAAGGTTCGTAACTAAACAACAATGACTGTGCGAAACGACCTTCAAGCTCAGCGATTGGCTAACATAGTACTTTCACATTGATGACAAGTCAATCTTGCATCATGAGCACATCGGCATACAGACAGTTTTAGTTCAGATGTGTAACTTACTTCAGCCACTCCGTGATGCAGTCCTCGCAGAAATGGTGTCCACATACTGTCACGAGTACGGGGTTGCGTATGACCCCGAGGCACATCGGACATTGGAAGCGATCTAAATCTGGCTCTTCGACGAACACTTCCAGGTCGAAGCCCAACGACAATGGCGGGAACATGCGGGTGTAGTCGGGCCTCGACATTGTTGCTGCTGATTGTGCTGCTCCTGCTGCTAGTGGCAGTGCTACTACTGCTTCTTCCTTGTGTGCTGTTGGTCCTGCTGGTGTTGCTGCTGCTGGTTTTCCTGCTGGTGTTGCTGCTGGTGGTGTTACTGCAACTACTGGTAGTAATGCTGCTGGTGCTTCAGCTTCCACTGTTAAGTTGCGAGGGGGACTGACTTCCAGGTAATGACCCGCCCATACACGGGTGTATACATGTTGTACAAGTCATGTTATGGTATTCCGGTAATCCTTCTACGGAGAGTTGTATTTGTTCAAGTATTCCACTCTACATCATGGTTAACATGCCCTGGATGTGTACATAATTATGTGAAGCAACCGTGAAAATCTGGTACATACAGTGGGTATAATAATAGCAATACCACAGTACGCGCACCAAGGCCAAAGAACAATGCATGAGAATACACTGAAACTAAGCCGAGTCCGCTTCTGTTTCCAGTCAACAGTGGGTATCGGTCATGTAAAAGAACACATGTACTGCCTACAAGAAAGAACTCTCACATTTTCGTCGCAATCATAACGTGTGTTTCGAGTGAACACTATTATACTCTTGCGAGTACTTTGAGGATGGGTGACTGGCCTAAAACGTCAAATATATTTCGACATCTCGTGGGAACAAATCTCAGTCTCCAGTTAGTCCCACATGCCGGCAACGCAGGCTGCTGTGGTTTGGCCATCTGGTGCGAGAGGGTCCCGAATTCGCCTCGTTCCAAGCACTGGAGCTATCAATCAACACAAACGACTTATAAAACCCCATAGCCGTCCGCCATTGCGGTGGATAGATACGATTCGGCACGACCATACAAACAAACAAACAAACAAACAAACAAACCTGAAGGCAGCGGATCTCTCCGTGGAGAGCGCTCTCCAAGCTGCAGGAGATCGACTAACTTGGCTTGACACTGTTGACAGATGCGTCGACTCTGCTCCTGTCTAACAGGCTCAGGCAAGATGCGAGCTGTTTGTATTATTAATATTAATGGAAGAACTTTTCATCCAGCGCATGCGCCAAGAGTGACCAGCAACAGAATAGGGCGGTTGTCAGTTGACAACCCCCCTTTTATTTACAATGCAGTAACGTGATGTCCACCGCTTTCTGAATGAACGAGTGCTTTTAAATGTAAAATAGAAGACGTTATCACATGAGAACGAGTTTCGAGTGTTTCTTCTTCGATTTGCCATTTATTTCTGGCTCATCATCCGAGTACTTTTCCAAGTAATGATATCTCGTAGAAGAATAAATCGGTCCTAAGAATGAACTTTGTGTAGGAAAACATACCAGATTAGAGCATCGAATGTAGTACCAGTACTGATCCGACTACCATTTCACCGAACTGTTGTAGTTATGTAACTCGTGTTGCACAGACACAGGGTAAGGCTTTGCGACTATGAACAGCCACATGCACAGTAGCATGACGTCCCACGTTGGTTGGTAGTTATATTTTGTTGGTTGGTATATTAATGCATTGCCACGTTCACGGGGCAGGGGGGGGACGGGATGTCTTCCATCGAAAAGGACCATTTTTCATTTTTTTGGTTTCGGCCAGTCGGCTACTATCATTACATGTTCGTCTTGGGGGTTAGACAAGGGGAAGTAGCCATGTAAGGCGTGGGCCCACCTTTCGGCACCGGGAGTTGCAGCTCGCTCGACTTGACTCTACTGAACGCAGAGGACCCACACCTTGATCTGGTGAGCTGCGCTGTGGGGATTTTTTCGGAAAAGGACCATGACACTTAGCAGGGACACAAACTGTTCTTCTAGCTGGGGCGGCAGCAGTCGAAAAAGTAGTCGAACTTTCGGAAGTGTGGTGGCGAAAGTGCATGGTTTTCCGAAAATGGATTTTCGGCTCTTTCATGTTTGGGAGTGCATAATGAATATAAAAAGTGTATTTTTCATGTTTGTATTTTTGCTTTCTGCTGCTCTCAATTATTTGAAAAATTTCCACGTATGTAGTTTTGATTTTTGCTGGTTTTTGCTGCTCTCGCTGATCTCGCCATGTTGACTAATCTTCTCAAACTCTATCTTCCTTTGCCATGGAGCCTACTGACAGTACAAGACAGTAGTTCGCCAACCTCGTCTTCAGCTGTTGGATCACTTGGTCCCGGCACCATCAGTCCGTCCTCGTCTTCAAACCGCACCCAAATTCAGTTTGACCTGCACATGGATTTGATCCTGCTCAACCCCTTCGACGCTCTCCATTTTGTTTTGCATGGCAACCCTTGGAAACGAAGTCGAATCAGATTTTCGGAATGCAAAACACTGAAAATGCCGTTTTTCGGCACGCGCTTTCTTCGGAAAAGCACAGTCGAAAATCTTTCCGAAATTCGGAATGCAAAACCTCTCTATTATCTTGCGTTTGAAAGCCCTATTTGAATATTGCGGGCAGCAGTATGTGGCCAGCTGTGTTTGATGGTATCGTGTATGGTACGGTAGGGAGACTGTGTCGTATTACCCTCGATCGTACCTGTCCCGTACCTATCCCTTACCGTACCGTGCCATCAAAGACGGCTGGCCACAATGCATATTCAAATAGGGCTTTCAAATGCAAGATCACAATGTGAAACAACTTGGAAGAATTAGTATGTATGCGAAGTGTATCGGGGGATGCATGCAGGGCGCGCGATAGTGTGGGTTCGAATCCCAGGTTATGTCTTAAAAAAAAGGAATTTTTTAAAGAATTTATAACATCCCTATGCTTTTTTTTGTCTAGGTCATCAAGGCAAAAAAGCATAGCGTAGCCCCTTTACAGATCTCTGGATCCTCCCCTGCTAGAGTAACCTGAAGTTTATGTCTCTGTTAAGTGTCATGGTCCTATTCCAGGAAGACATCCCCCTCCCCCCCCCCCCCGTGAACGTGGCAATGCATTGAAGGAGTGATTTTCCTCTCAATCTCCCAGTTTCCCTCTCTCTCTCTCCCTCCCTCTCTTTCTCCGTCTCTCCCATAGTGGATGCTCCACACTTTCATGTTATTTTTTCCTTTCTTCGTCCTTTTGTGAGATCTTGTGCGATCCACTTGTCCAGGCAAGAACGCAGCGATGATCTTTTCATTCTGGTGAAACACCTTGAATATACCAACCAACCAAAAATCAACGTCGTGCTACTGTGCATGCGGCTGTTCATAGTCGCATAGCCTTACCATGTGTCTGTGCAACATGAGTTACATAACTACGACAGTTCAGTGCAATGGTACTTGATGTGTATCTATATTCATTACGTCATAGTTGCACTGCATGCACGCACACACACGGATTAGTTGAGTGTGCTTCTTTTTCCTGTTGTTCTTTCTCGGGACATGTTTTGTTTTCCGTTCCCAAGGGCATGTTCGATTGGTAAGGATCGGGATCGGGATCCAGATCTCAGATCCGTCGGATCCTTCAGAATCACCCCAGTGTCTGGAGATATGTGGATTTTGTAGAAAAAAAATCAACTGGACACTTTTTTGAGCCTTGACTGTTGCCATGTGGACGAAGTAATAAAAAGTCGTACACACAGCGCCAGTTGTACATAAAGTCAGCAAGCTCTATCTCGACCCACGTGTGCGTACCACAATGTGTACAAAAACGAGTTTTACCCGCCATATACGCACAAAGGTCACATTTGGATCCGTTGGATCCGGTCAACCCTGCTCCCGGAGGTGGGTTGAACGGATCCAAATCCGAAGGATCTGGATCCGGATTCGACCAATCGAAAGGGTGCGAATCCAGTGGATCTGGTGGATCGGGATCCCGATCCTACCAAACGAACATGCCCCAAGTCTTCACGAATAAATAGTAACGTATCATGGGACAGTGAACTTGTTCTTTCCTGTGTCCGTGCCTTTTGTGCGCACCTTGTAGTGTTTGCACGGGCCCAGTTGTTTTTCCGCCTGAAGTAGTAGTCTCCGCGATCGCAACTCTGTCTCAGTTGAATTATTTTAGTAGTGTATTTGTTCGTACTCGTGGACGAGTGACTAATCGTAATGGAACAATCACAGGACGATACCGGATTTGACCTGTCCTCCGTGACCGAGCGACAGCAAGAATCTCAAATGGGTGTCCTGATGAGATTCAGTATGGAGCAGCAGATGGGTGTAGATGAGGCTCACGATAAGGCGATGCAAGATCTGTTCAAGAATGTTCAGAGCAGGTCGCCATCACCATCGCAGCCTCAGTTCACCCCACAGCCCTCAGCACCAGCTCAGTCCACCTCGCAGACCTCAGCACCACGGCCAGTGAATAGTGTGAAGTTTCCTGCCCACACTTATTGTCGTCTGCGACGCTGGCTGATTTTCACTCCTTCGTTGAAAGCTGGAGAGATTTTAGTGTTTGCCAGCATTTGGCCAGCCAGGCTCGTGAGGCCAGGGTGGCAACACTCCGTCAGTGTTTCGATGAGGAGCTGCGACGTTTCATCCGCGAGGATATCATCTGTATACCATCGTCAGCTGACGTCAACCTAATGCTGGAGCGCATTCAGGCGTATATCAGACGGCGACGTAATCCACTGTTGGAGAGCATAGAGTTTTACCAGCGTGTTCAGCAAGCTGGAGAATCATTTGATGCATTTTACACTGCCCTGTGTGAACTGCAAAGTGCATGCGACTTCTTGTCACACAGCCTATGTGGAACGTGTGATGCTCGCTGCTGTGCACAGTGCAAAGGCCTCGGCCGCACCCTCAAGGAGGAATCTCTGCGCGACCGCGTCGTAATTGGTGTGCGGAATGACGAGACGCGACACAAGTTGCTCGCAACTCATGGTCTCATGCTCGACCAGGCCGTTACCCTCTGTCGGACGGAGGAAGCAGCGTACCACACCAAGGCACACATGCCCAGTCCTGGCCTCCAGGCAAGTGCTGCCAAGCAGTCGGCGTACAAGCAGCAGAAGCGTCACAAGCCAGCTGACTCCAAGCCAAGTGAGACGTCAAGTGCGACCAAGTCCACTTGCCCAAATTGTGGTCGCTCTGAGCACACGAAATCCGTTTGTCCTGCCAAGGGCAAGAAGTGCAACTCTTGTCATGGCATTGGTCACTTTCAGCGAATGTGCAAGCACCAGAAACAGCCGAAGACTAGCTCTGCTGCCAGGCTTGGACAGCTGAAGCTACAGCGTGGACCGTCGCACAGTACCTGTTCAGACCATGCGGCAAACGGAGGATCAGCCATCCCAACTGTCCTGGACACCAGACACAGGCAGTGAGGAGCACCTCACGCAAAATCGGTGGGTTCGTCGAGAACTTAGATGACGACCACGACTGTGTGCAGGCTGTGACCGGTGAGCCGCTACGCAACCTGGGCAAGATACGTGCGACGCTACGAGTCGGTGAGGTGCAGCATGAAACCATCATCCACGTGTACAAGGGTCTACACGATGCCCTGCGGTCTCATACCTCATTGCCTGGGCTGAACACCGCTGAACACGAGGGTGCGTGTTCACCTAAGATCTGTGCAGCTGTTTCGTCATGCGCTCATCCTAGTGACGCTGAGGTAGCGCGGACACGTGAGCAGCTCCTGCAAGAGTTCGCTGACGTTTTCTCGGATTCCGGTCTGAAGCCAATGGAAGGTCTGCCAATGGAAATTGAGCTGCAGCATGATTCTAAGCCTTCCTGTGTGCACACCGCTCGACCAATACCGTATGTGTTCCGCGAGCAGATCAAGACTCAGCTCGACGGCATGGTCAGCGACGGGATTATTGAACCGGTGACGGAGCCCAGTGAATGGTGCCATCCGATTGTCATAGTAGACAAGAAGGGCAGCCCTGAGAAGCATCTCACAGTTGACTTCAAGCGGCTGAACGACCAAATCCGTTGTCCCGCGCATCCCGTTCATACGGCAGGTTACGTTGTCTCTGGAGTTGGCCCTGCTAAGTTCTTTACGAAGCTCGATGCAAGGCATGGCTACTGGCAGATTCCTCTCAGTGACACTGCTCAGGAATTCACCATGTTTATCACCCCGTACGGCAGATATCGTTATCTATGGAACCCGCAGGGTATAATATCTGCTGGGGATGAGTTCAACCAGCGCACTGATGCTGCGTTCTCTGCCATCCCGCGTCTCGGCAAGGTAGTCGATGATTGCCTAGCGTACGACGACGACTTTCTGTCGCATGTCAGACACGTGCGCGAGATTCTGCTCTGCGCCAGGGAGCATGGTATCACGTTCAGCCCCGCCAAGTTTGTGTTCGGTATGCAACGTGTTCATTTCTGCGGCTACAACGTTCCGCCTGATGGCTGGGTCATCGACGATGATAAGACATCCGGTATTCACCAGTTTCCAGTACCCGCCAACAGAATCGATCTCCGTTCGTTCCTCGGTCTAGTGAACCAATGTGGTGAGTTCACTCCACATATAGCCGAGTTTACCAATCCTCTGCGTGGCCTGCTCAAGACTTCCCGTGAGTTCATGTGGGACGCTAGCCACACTGCAGCGTTTAAACGGACACAGGAAGCTCTCTTATCTCCTCCGGTTCTCGCATTCTATCAAGTTGGTGAAGACCTCCGGCTTGAAACCGATGCATCCGCTCTCAAAGGTCTCGGATTCGTGCTTTGGCAAAAGCAGAATGATCAGTGGCGTATTATTCAGTGTGGATCCCGCTACTTGTCTGATGCTGAAACACGTTATGCTGTCATCGAGTTGGAAATGCTCGCTGTAGTATGGGCCGTGCGCAAATGCCGCATCTACCTGTCTGGTGCGCCATTTGAAGTCGTCACCGACCACAAGCCCCTGATTCCGATCATCAACTCATATTCCGTGGATCAGATCGAGAACCCGCGTCTTCTACGATTACGCCTCAAGCTCCAAGCCTATCAGCTGCAGGCATCTTGGCGAAAAGGTTCTGAAAATGCCTTCGCCGATGCGCTGTCCCGGAATGCTGTTGGCATTCCTTCCTCCACTGATGAGCTTGGTGAAGCCCCGTCGCTTCATTGCCGCAGCATCCGGATCTGCATGGTGCACTCGGACACTGAGCCGAATGCGAATCTCAAGGTTGCAGAGCTGCGTGAAGCTGCAGCTGCAGATGCCACGTACCAGTCATTGATTGAGTGAATCTTGACTGGATTCCCTGATCGCCAGCAGAAGTTGCGTGCTCCGTTACGTGCGTACTGGAATGGACGTGAGCATCTCTCTGTCGACCATGGCATTGTGTTGAAGGGCAACCGCATTGTTGTTCCTGAATCATTGCGTGCTCAGGTATTGCACAACCTCCACGCTTCACACCAAGGTCTAGTGCGTACTAAGTCTTGTGCGCCTCAGCTTGTATACTGGTCCGGTATCACCAAGGACATTGATACACTCGTTCGTTCCGGTCCTGCTTGCCGCGAACACCAGTCTTCCCAGCCAGCTGAGCCCCTGCTGAACGACCGCACCCCGACACTACCGTTTGAATGTACATCTGCGGATTTGTTCACTTGTCAAGGTCACGACTTCCTTGTGTATGCAGATCGCTTGACCGGCTGGCCCTCTGTTGCTCGTACTGCCCGCACCACCTCATCGCACGACGTGATACTAGCATTCCGTCGCTGGTTCTCTGATGGTGGTATTCCTGCTGTGCTAAGTACAGATGGTGGTCCCCAGTTCTCCTCGCATAAGTTTGCTGCGTTTTGTAAGCGCTGGCAGGTAAACCATGTCATGTCCTCTCCCCACTACCCACAGAGTAATGGGCACGCCGAAGCTGCTGTCAAAGCCATGAAGCGTCTAATCACCAAGACAACTGTGAATGGCAATCTTGACACAGATGACTTCCGCCGAGGGCTACTGGAAAGGCGAAACACACCTGGCTCCTCAGAGCCCCACTGAGCTCCTATATGGCCGTTCTCTCCAGTCATTCGTCATTGCACATTGGAAGGAGTTTGATTCATCCTGGCTCTCCAAAGCGACGTGATGAGACTGCCATGCCATCCGACGATGCCGTCACAGACAAGTCGTCAACTCGTCGCTCGTTGCCGCAGCTCCGCCTCGGCACCCACGTGGATGTTCAGCATCCGCGCACCAAGCAGTGGTCTATTCGCGGGGTCATTGTTGCTGTCTGTAATCATCGGGACTACCTAGTGAAGTTGCCGAGTGATCGCATTTATTGGCGGAACCGCAGATTCCTGCGTCTGTATCACCCACTTGTGCCTGCACCGCTTGTAGTCCAACCGGCTGCTGCTGACGCCTCTTCCCCGCCGCCGCCATCCCGCCGCAGTGCACGTCAGCGCAAGCCACCCCAGCGTTTAAACATTGGTTCGCATCATGGACAGTCCTATGATTGACGCTCTTGATCACTAATGTCAATTTCTGCTGTCTCTGCTTTGTTGTTTTCATTCTTCATTTTGTTTTGTTTATGATAGATGTTGCTGTCACGGGTGTCGCAACATCTCGAAGGGGCGTGATGTTTATCTACTTCGAAGTATATTCATTACGTCATATTTGTACTGCATGCACACACACACACACACGGATTAGTTGAGTGTGCTTCTTTTCCTGTTGTTCTTTCCCATGACATGTTTTTTTCCGTTCCCAAGTCTTCACGAATAAATAGTAACGTATCAGTAGTCGCATCAGTGCTGCTACTATAAGCGATGCTCTAATCTGGTATGTTTTCTACGCAAAGTTCATTCTTAAAGGGGAAGTTAAGGCAAAAATTAAAATTTCACCAGTTGCAGTCTTCGGGGTGCTGAGTCGAATGGTCTTGGTCCGAGAAAGCTGAGACGCTCCCTTCCTACTTGAATCCCAATCGAACTCGCGCACTTCCACCGAAACTGGGTGACTGCGCCCTACTAGATGGAGATTTGTATGCAAAATGTCACTAAAAGCGCCATTTCGTTCTTATAAAAGCATGGATGACCGCGGTTGGCCCATATGTTGGAGTCTTTTGGACGCTGAGTCGACTGGTTTTGGTCCGAAAAGGCTGCGATGCAGCGTTCCTCCTTTATTCCCAATCGAACATGGTTGAACAAGCGGTCACGTGCTACTGAGTGCCCAAATCACCTGGTCGCCACGCCAGCAGGCGACAACTTTCACACCAAGGTTCAACTCGAGTGACAGGACTGCACCCAAAAAAGGTCAAACAGGCTAGTAAGTTGTACCCTGCAGGCACAGTGACCAGGTGACTGGTGTACGCACGAGCACGTGACCGCTTGTTCAACCATGTTCGATTGGGAATAAAGGAGGAACGCTGCATCGCAGCCTTTTCGGACCAAAACCAGTCGACTCAGCGTCCAAAAGACTACAACATATGGGCCAATCGCGGTCGTCCGTGCTTTTATAAGAACGAAATGGCGCTTTTAGCGACATTTTGCATACAAATCCCCATCTAGTAGGGCGCAGTCACCCAGTTTCGGTGGAAGTGCGCGAGTTCGATTGGGATTCAAGTAGGAAGGGAGCGTCTCAGCTTTCTCGGACCAAGACCATTCGACTCAGCACCCTGAAGACTACAACTGGTGAAATTTTAATTTTTGCCTTAACTTCCCCTTTAAGGCCAATATCTTCTACTACGAGATAACATTACTTGGAGAAGTACTCGGATAATGAGCCAGTATTAAATGTAACATTTAACTCGGATACTGAGGCAACGAGAGAGCTTGGAAGCTCAGGGCCCTGCGCTATGCTTTTATGCTTTTTTGCCTAGCTCATCGTACATGTTATAGGAACTGATGGGAATGTCTTTTTCGTTGATTGGCCACATCACTGTATTGCAAAAACGTTTCAATCGGTTTGCTTATGAGTTAGGCAAAAGTATTTGCAGAATTTATTGCGGATTATTATTTCTCTAATAATCATCTACTTTTGTTTTGTTCCTTCTTTTCTTTTTATCTCCTTATATTGTAAATCAACAAATTTTGGCCGATGAGAAATAGAAACCTCTCTATTAGAGAGGTTAAGATGCACGTTATTTCCGACGTGACGCGCAGTTTCACGTCAAATTTGAAATCGATCGGTATTTTTGCTCTCACATGCATCCATTGCTCAATCATGCATCATTTGCCTATATGACAAACGTTGGCCTGCGATTTACTTTGGCCGGTTGGTACCAAGCGGCGAAATCAGCGAAATTAAATCGCCAGCGAACATTAGTTGATTTTAATACAGTGATCGGATTTTCTGGCCTTTTTGTAGTAATACATGTGCATTGACCTGTTGAGCCAATGACGACGCCGAATGCATGGTTGCCTGTGGAGCACATCACATAACTTTACAGTCTCCTAAAATACGTATCCTGTCCGACGGCAAAAGAGGCTGCAGATTTAGTTTTTCTGCGCGTCGACGGGATGTCTGCGACGCGAAAGTTCAGCTCGCGTTATTTGGCTCGCACGTCGAAAAATCAACGCGAGTGACCTGCTGCTCACGTCGAAATTTGGACATTACATAAATTAACAGTCTCCTATATAAAACGTATCCTGTTCGACGGCAAAAGAGGCTGCAGATTTAGTTTTTCTGCGCGTCGACGGGATGTCTGTCCTGACGTTTACTGGGACCGGCGCTGACTCTGCCGATCACGGACGTTCTGGACTCGACGAGATGTCTGTCCTGACGTTTCCTGGGATCGGCTTAGACTCTGCCGATCACGGGCGTTCTGGACTCAAAGGGATGTCTGTCCTGACGTTGCCTGGTACCGCCGGACTTTACCGATCACGGGCGTTCTGGAGTCGACGGGATCTCTCTTCCGACGTTTCCTGTGACCGGCACTGAATCGCTCGTTCACGCTTATTTTGGAGAGGACGGGATCTCTCTTCCAAAGTATGTTTATGCTGACGCATCCTATCACCTAATCGGCGTCTATTCTAATTTAATTTCCACTTCGTCTCCCTATTTCTTTCCAAATCTCCCTCTACATCAGGGAGTCGTATACATAATACGACGAATATTGGTACGGTACGGGACAGATACAGGAGCCCGCAAATATTGTGGACAGCTGTTATGTACAATCCTGTAGAGCCTTTGTAGTCACAGATACGGGACAGATACGGGACAGATACGGGATAGCTCCAGCCGTGACACAAACAAACAAACAAACAAACAAACACCAAACGAGAGAGCTTGGAAGCTCAGGGCCCTACGCTATGCTTTTTTGCTTGCTCATCATGCATGTAACGTGTCAAAGCTGTGTTGACCCTGACTAGCGTTCTGGAGTCGACGGGATGTCTGTCCTGACGTTTCCTGTGACCGGTAGGCATATGCGGATAATTCCGGCAGAAAAATTGGCAGAATTTGGTACTTTTTCTGGTAAGTTTCATGCATGTTTGGTATGTGGATAAAGAAATGGAGCAGAATTCGAGGAATTGCCCGCCATAAGGTTTGTATGGTTCTGCCAATTTCACTGCTTTTCGAGCAGAATCTGCCACCTTTTCGAGCATTATCCGCACACCCCTAGTGACCGGCGCTGACTCTGCCGATCACGGGCGTTCGGGAGTCGACGGGATGTCTGTCCTGCCGTTTCCTGTGACCGACGCTGACTCTGCCGATCACGGACGTTCTGGAGTCGACGGGATCTCTCTTCCGACGTTTCCTGTGACCGGCGCTGACTCGCCCTTTCAGGATTATTTTGGAGATGACGGGATCTCTCTTCCAAAGTATGTTTTTGGTGACGCATCCTGTCTTATATTCGGCAACTAACGTCCATTCTAATAGCATTTCCTCGTCTCCCTACTTCGCATTTCTTTCCAGAAAATCTCCCTATACAGCAGGGAGTCGTTTACATAATACGACTCCCTGCTATACATCTATATACGTTATAATTATTATGCTATCGGCCTACATGCGATTCCCGGGCTGGTCGACAGGCGGCCCAGCCAGCCTGCCAGTGGGATCTCGGCCTCGCACACAAATCCACACAAAATGCTACTGCACTATCGGCCTGAATGCATTCCCCCGATATACTTCGCATGTATATACTCATCCTCTTGATGGTACCGTACTCTTCATGGTACGGGACAGGTACGGGATAGCGCCGGGCATGCTGATGGCACAAACAAACAAAAATATTGTGGCCAGCTGTCTTTGCTGGTACGGTACGGGACAGATACGGGATAGCGCCAGGCGTGACACAAACAAACAAACAAACAAACAAACAAACAAACAAACACCAAACGAGAGAGCTTGGAAGCTCAGGGCCCTACGCTATGCTTTTTTGCCTTGATGACCTAGACAAAAAAAAGCATAGGGATGTTATAAATTCTTTAAAAAATTCCTTTTTTTTAAGACATAACCTGGGATTCGAACCCGCACTATCGCGCGCCCTGCATGCATCCCCCGATACACTTCGCATACATACTTATTCTTCCAAGTTGTTTCACATTGTGATCTTGCATTTGAAAGCCCTATTTGAATATGCATTGTGGCCAGCCGTCTTTGATGGCACGGTACGGTAGGGGATAGGTACGAGACAGGTACGATCGAGGGTAATACGACACCGTCTCCCGTACCATACCGTACCATCAAACACAGCTGGCCACATACAGCTGCACGCAATATTCAAATAGGGCTTTCAAACGCAAGATAATGACGTAAAGCAACTTGGAAGAATGGGTATGAATGCGAAGTGTATGGGGGAATGCATGTAGGGCGATAGTGCGGGTTCGAATCCCAGGATATGCCTGAAAAAAAGGAGAATTGAAAAATTTATAACATCCTATGCTTTTTTGCCGTCAGATACAGATAGCGCCAGGCGTGACACAAACAAACACACAAACAAACACCAAATTAAAGCTGTGTGGACCCTGGCTAGCGCCAGACGTTACTGAAGTAACGTCTTCTGCATAGCTACGGGAATTAAAGCTGTGTGGACCCTGGCTAGCGCCAGACGTTACTGAAGTAAC